AATTGAAAATTATTTATATACTTTAGTTGAGAATTTGTTCTTCGAAAATACATATTAAAAATAAATAAATAAATAAAAACTATTTTAAAATTATTTTTTAAATACAGGCAATGACTTATATGATTAGGATTATATTTCGTTTTTAGAATACAATATTTGTTAATTATAGAATCAAGAGTACAAAATTGCTTCAATATTTTGTTCCATAAAATAGAATTATAAAAATTAATCTTTTTCTTTCTTTTTCTTTCTCTTAAAAATTGTGTTACAACGATATTTAATTATTATATAGTATGTTGTGCAGCCGAATATACTTAAAAAAATTTTTTTTTAATCTATACAACACCTACCATTTCATGATTTTAGAGTTAACAAATCAATTCTCCACTATAAAACTCACTAACTTTCAATCATAGAATTTCAATCTTAAACATTCTAACTCTCAGTGAGATCTTGCTGACAGTGAAATTTTAAATAAGTGCGACATATCGTAAGGTGAAAACGTAATTTGACGATATTTCGATATATTTTCTAACTGAACTATTTGTCACCCAAATGAAATTTGTTAATCAACATACGCGATAATATCGTTCTCAATAATTATCTTTATAGATAATGTTTTCAATAACAGCATATTCAAAGTTTATTGCCGTCGGTAATGATCATGAAATTATCGAATCCATAATTATAATTATTAACAATACTTATGATAATTCCATGTTCAATGTTGATATTGACCGCGATGGCTATGGCATTTTATACATTGAAAGTAAAATTATATTCACTAAAATGTATTTTGGACTTTAAAAATTTAAGGCTAAATCAAAATATAATCTCTGAGTTACAAAATAGAAGTTCTTGATTGAAAAAATAATTATTTATATTTTATAAAGAAGATTCTAAAATTGTATCATTCGCCATTTTATTGTTCAAGAAAGAAATGCGTACTTAATATTAATATTGAATTTTACCAACTCGAATTTAAATGTCATAAGTTCAAATCCAAAAATTTAACTGGCTTTGTTTAGCAGTAATAAGCTTAATAAAAAATGATCGAATCGTTATTAAAAATCACGACAGTCATTATATAATGATATTTTATCTATATCTTAATATTACATTTACAATATTTACATGCATTTTAATAACGAATATAAAATTTATTCTAACATTGAAATGATGCTAATTTAAAGATATCGAAACAGAAAAAATATAACCTTCTTCCCAAGAAAAATGAATAAAGTCTTTTTTCCATATATTTTTTATTACATTTCTTTTTTTTTTTTGGTTACTAAAAGTATATTATACTCTTTAATGATGAAATTTGAAGGTCTTAATAGAATCAATTTAAGCAGATATGTTAGAAAGAATATCTACAGATTAACTTCTTTATTTCTATTTTATTCAAGCGTTGAAAAATAGTACAAAATGGAGCTTTTTATTTTGTTCTTCTTTTTCGAGAACTTGCAGGGTTTCTAAGAAATAACCCCGCAGATACTATTTCATTTCATTTCAGTTTCCCAATCGCCTCATTAAAAAAAAAAAATCTACCAAAACAGATCGTTTGCAGGGAAGAAAAATAAATCGTATTACATGCAATTAGAAGCTGAATTTGCGTTTGAATTTAATGAAGCTTAAATTTCAAACATCGTTTGCTCCAAGGTTTTTAAAATCGATACTCTACAGTAATGGCAAAAGATGTATGGATTACTACTTAATTAAGCAAACGATGCTCTCAAATAAATTTAATGTTTTATTTTTGAAACTTCATTCGAAGTATTCAGTTCTGAGTGGTGTCACAAATTAAGCTTATTGAGTTTCGTCACATTTTCTGCAACGTTCTAAAAACGTGAAAAGACAGCGGACAGTTAACAATTCTTTCTAAAATGTCATAAAAATTGAGGCAATTAAAATAATAACGTCTGTGATTTTTTTTAATGTTTTAAAAACACTTCCGGAATATAAAGTTCTCTTGCACTCTAAAAGGCGATTAAATTTATTAAAACTATCGAATTTGGGAAACATATTTTTTCAACATAGAGATATATTTTTAAGCAAGCTCAGCATATTTTAAAAATATATTAATAATGAGTTTAACCTTATGAAGGTAGAGATTTAACACCAGAACTATTTTACCATCCGGTGAAACCGTAAACTAGCAGCACGTTAAAAATCCATTGACTTAAAAGATTGGTCAGGCACAGGTAAACTAAGTATGAATCAAGCAGTTAATTTGTATATTTGGCTGATGCAAATGAAGGAATTATGTATCATGGCTGATGCAAAATTCTTTAATGGTAGATTAATTACAAATCGGGCAAAGTCCAGATTCACGCATTTTTGGAGATAGTCAAATAAAATTAAATAGGCAATAAGTTTTTGGATAAATTATTTATAACCACACCACGAGGTCATTCTGCTGATTTATCATACTGAGAGGTCGTTCAAGAACTACGTAAGCATGTTTTTGGCTATTTTGGCTTCAAAATCCATTGTTAGCAAAAACTAGAAAATCATAAAAATCCTCCCAAAAGTCATAACAATTATTTTGCTATGACTTTTAACATAATTTCAAAGAATTTTTTCCAACTTTTATTTTCCTGCAATTAAACTTTTATTACAAATTTAACAATTTTTCAAGTGCAATTGTTTTCCAATTACTTTTGCTCTGAAATTTTAAAAAAAATTAATAATGGGATTTGTGTGTTTGGGGTGCTTTGAAATATGGTAGAAGTAATGCCCTGTTTGTGCAGTAAATTAAACAGCTGTATCTTCCATATTCAATTCAAATGAATAGTAAAAATCTTTAAGATCTGTTTTTTTTTTTTTTTTTTTTTTTTTTTTTTTTTTTTTTTACTATAGTTTTTTCCTTAAATCTCACAGGTTAGAGTATTTTTGATCGAACTGAGCGTGTAATATTTTTGAACTTTTGTGGTCGATTCTAGCACAGAAAACTTAACTAATTAAAAAAGTTATTTCCAAATGCGAATTTGTTTACGATATGCTTTAAAAATTAACCGACTTTTAAGTAATAAAAAAGTTCCTGAGTTTAATATGAGAAATCGTACTTTTCGCCTGAATTAGCGACTCCATATTTCACTACCAACGATTTTTAAAAAAAATGTTTAGAAAAAATTTAAATATTACTCATTTTGACCGGAATGTTTTCCTCTCCAATAACAGCAATAACTAAAAATCGGAGAAATCCCCCCCCCCCACCATCGTAAATTTTAGGTTAAATTTTCGATTTTCCGTCTTCTTTTTTTCATTAATATTCTAATTATTAATTTGGTATACGAATGTTTTATCAAAAATTTAAAGAAATAAAGTATTATAGATTGTAGGTAGTCTGAAACTGTACATTTGTCTATTATTGGAAAATGATGAAAACCGACTTAGATGGAGCTGAAATATTCTCTTATCAGAAGCAAAAATCTTTTGAAAAAAATTAAAAAGTGTATTATTAAATTACCCTTCTGAAAACAACCATTCCAGACTTGCATAAATAAAACATTGTCGGAAAAAATCCATAGAAATTCGCTATATTTCCCCCATTGCGCTGTTATGAACATGCATTTTAAATGTTTCGAGAGATACTACCGAATAAAATAAGCATCCAAAATGTTTTTATTTGTGCAAATTAATAAATAGGATTAATTCCTGCCCATAGATGGCGCTACTGGAAAACAAGAATATCTAACATTATCTATATAGAATATCTTAAAATCATATTTAACATTTCCTCTCTTCGTCCACACTTTTCTACAGGATGAGTTCATTTGAATGGGGAAGATGGCACCTAAGAGACGCTATGCACTGTGCGCAAGATAATAAACGGACCACCCTGCATAACTTTTGATCTAATGATCGGACCTTCACGTTTTTTCACGTTCATGGTTCGAAGGGGTAATTTAATTAATTAGTGGGGCCGATGTTTTAAGGTAAGAAAGCAGACACAAAAACGCACTTTCTCTGAATAAACATATCTTTTCAACGACCAATTCGGATTTCTGTCTCTCAAAATATAGCAGGTAGCCGCAATCTGGAAAATATGGTCCCCATAGTTTGGGCAAGAGGGCTATCCAAAGTTTAAACCTCTTTATATTAATTTTATTTTTTTGCGAATGTTCCCATATCTCGAGAACTTTTTAACACAATAATAAAATTCGCTTGTGTAAATTAATTTCATGCAAAAAATAAATTTTAGTAAATGTTTGTTATATTATTTAGTCGAATGGATTGCGACCATATTGGGAATCAAAAATCCGAATCCGTCGAGGAATAGGTATGTTTATTCAGAGAGATTACGTTTTATTGTGTCTGATTCCATAAATCAAAATATTGTCCGCACCAATTAGTTAGTATATTTGAGTTCATCCCCTCAAACCATTAAGATTCAGTCTAAGAACGTGAAGATCAGATCATTAGAACAAAAGTTATTCAGGGTGGTCCGTTTTTCATATTGCGCACTGAACATAGGTTGTTTATCGCGTGAGAGAAAATAAACTAGGTATAATTAAAGAGTCATAGAAGTCATTGACTTATTTTTTGTCGTTATATAGGTCCGTCTCAAGGCTCAATAAATCATGAATGACTAAAGAACTAATTTACAACTATGTAACTGACATTTTATCAGCAAAAATTTTTCTCTGTTTTAATTAAAATAATTAAAGAAATAGGAAGAAATAATTATTAAGAGAAAAATGAAGGGGAAAAAATACAAAATTCTGAGCAAACGATTCCACAAATTGCGAAATCGTTTTCAAAATTTTAAATTAGAACTTCTTTTATTCCATTTTCTATTACAATGAGACTTTTAGAGATACTTCACAATGACTTTCTATTCCCCAAAAATATTTATATGTTGTTAATTACAAAATTTATTATTATTATTATTAATGATAATCATGATCATAATAAAAAATATGATTGAAAAGTTTTCGCATTCTTTTACATACTCAACAAAAAAATAAAACATCAAAATTAAGAAGCTTCCGACTTAAAAACGATATTAAAACTGCCATTTAATTCGATCGATTTTTTGTGTGCGAGTCATATCACCCTCGCTTACTTTCCCTGCAGCCTTCATATTGATTTAGGTTTGCAACTGTTGTTTACATCTGAATCCATTCAATATTTCAGATTTCGCTCTAGGACCTATATTTTTAAATGAATATAAAAGAAATTATCAACAAATATACTCTAATGATGCCCAATTATTGAAAAAAAGCTCAGAAAACGACTAATTTCATTTCCCTGAAAATATAAGCTTTAATAAGATAAGCGACATAGCGGCAACATTCGTCGATAGATGGCGGGCTTGTAATGCAGTATTCTTATGTTTTCTGTTTGTGTTCTAAAACGAGAACCAAAACAAAAACACTGAAAATGAAACACGAAATTAAAATACCGAAATTTATATTAGAAGACTTTGCGATTGATTATTGTTCGTCGAACGATGATGTTCTAGTACTTAGAACAAATACTATAAATACAGATCAGGAGGCATATGATTTCGTGAAGATGTTTGGAAATATGACTGGGAGTCAATATATTCTTAATTTTACTAACCCTAACCCAACTCGGTAAGCTCATATAATGCAGAGAATTTCTTTATGTTGTGTTTTATAGCCTGTGATAATTAATGCAATATAGTTCGAGTTCACATTGCAGGATTAACATTGTTATTTCGTGGGAATAAAGTTTGTTTATATTTAAAAAAAAATGAGATTACTTGTTAGTAAATAAAAAATAAATAAATAAAATAAGAATAAACTTTTTTTACTTTTTGACAAATATAGTGTGTTATACTATGCTATTTTACAGACCTTAATTTTGATACAGAAAACTATTGCTTAATTTTGAGAAGCTATTCTCAACTAAGTGGGATTTGGGCCGAATTTCGAGTTTCCCAATAAAAATTATCTTCAAAAATATTTAAAGTTTAAAAAATATCAAATTTAGGTCTCGCTATTCAGAAATCAGAACAACCTAAAAATGCACAAGTATTACGAAAAACATGAAAAAAAATAGTACATAAAATTCATGTTCTTATCATTGTGTCAATAATAAAAACCCACAAATTAACCACGATTATATTTTCAACTACATTTATTTTTATTAACTATTAAATGAAAAAGAATGTTTTTAATGGATATTATCAACAAATAAGCACATAGATACATATTTAAACTTCAGGCCCTGGAATATGTACCTAATTTTTGTATTAAATTGAAATTGCGTATACTTTTTTTTTATTTACCATTTTTGAAACACTAGCTTTTAATAACATTCACTTGAATCATAAAAAAAATTTGAAATTTATTCACACAAAAAAAAAAAAAGAAACTTGAGACTTATTATTTTACCCCCTACGAAATGAAATTCTAGCTACGATTCCGAACTACTGTATTAATATATGAATACGATTCTGAACCATAATATTAATATATGAATACAACTTTGAACTATGGTGTTAATATATGAATATGACTCTGAACCATAGAATTATTATATGAACACGACTCTATAACGTAGAATTAATATAGAACTATGATTATATGAAATTCCAAGAAAATGAGTTCTGTCAATTGCAGGTCTCGAGGCAGTGCAGTAAAAGCAACATGTTTTTCCATTGTGGCATTTTTGCAACCAATTGTTCTTTAGTATTGTTCCCATATAGGTACTTTATAAATTACAGAGGGTCTCCCAAGTTAAGACCCCTGTTAGGAAATATTAAAATCGACTTGTTTTTGTCCAAAAACGCTCTTTAGAACAATTTGAGAACGTAGCTTGCCTTAAAATTGGAGAATTGTAATAATAGGAATATCAATGGTGGGTGAACCATTGGATTTTTGTTTATAGCACGTAGGTGTTATTAAGAACAATTTTTTGACACAATGAGTTAATCAACATATTATTGAATCGGTGATTGAACGAGAATCGTCGAATTAGTTTGTAAATAAAGCATAGAAATAGTTAATTTTCGTACGACATTCAAAGCTTACAATTTTATTTATGCCTCTTGTATATTCTCAGAAATATTGGTTCGACGTTGAACTAAAATATAGGTATCTTAAACCGCAACGTCGATATTGTTCAAATTTGTCGCAAATTTGATAAGGTTGCAACAATTTCAGCCGTTTTTAAGTCTATGTTAAACCATAGTGTCGTGAAGATGCCTGGAAAAGACTTCTCGAGAAGGCCTTGGCCTACCCAGGGCTGCCGTGCCACAGAAGAAGAAGATAGTCTCGCGTAATCAAATTTAAGAAGGATTAAATGGCATACTACGGGTCTACTGGCACCTTAATGCTAAAATAAACCATGTTTTTGTTCAAAAACCACATTATCGTGTTATTAAGTTTAAAAAGGGTTTTATAGCACCATTTTCTACTTCAACTTCAAACCTTAATGTTGAATTTTAACCATATGTACATTGAAATTAAGCCATAGTATCGTATAATCGATAATATAGCGCGATATTCTTATTCAACTAGCTACCCTAATTTTAACCTTTAAATTTAAGTTGAACTTTAGTATCGCGTTATCAAGTTTTAGAAAAGTTTTATACCATGATGCTCTAGTTCAACTTGGCACTTTAATGTAAATTTTAACCACGTTTACTTTAAAGTTGAACCGTAGTATCGCTTAAGTAGGATTAACTGCCACGATATCCTAGTTAAACATGGCACTTTACATTAAAATTTTATTCGTGTTTACATTAAAGTTGAAGCATAGTATCATTAATCAAGTTTAAGTAGGATTAACTGGCACTATACTCTTGGTAAACATAGCACTTCAATCTTAAATTTTGACCTTGTTTACATTAAAATTGAACCGTTGTTTCGTGAACGGAGTTTAAGAAGTTTTACATAGCGTGATGCTCTAGTTCAATTTGGCAACTTAATGTTTCATTTTAACTTAGTTTACATTAAAGTAGATGCATAGTATCGCGTAATCAAGTTTAAAAAGGATTACATAACGCGATAGTTCATTTGGCACTTTAATGTTAAATTTTAACAATGTTTAAATTAAATTAGAACCATAGTATCATTCAATCAAATTTAAGGATTGTTATATAGCGCGATATTCTAGTTCAACTCGGCACTTTAATGTTAAATTTTAATCTTTGTTTACATTAAAGTTGATCAACAATATTGTTACTTCTTTTTAGGATTGTTTACCATACTAGTTGGATTTGCCGATTTTCTAAAAGAAATAAGATGCCTGGATCTAAAAATAATAAAAACTGTGGAGCAACTTTAAGTTACAAGATCAAAAAAATTTGTCGTTCGGGATTTACAGATCCTTTCATGAGCGAAGTACCCCCCAAACCTGGGGTCTTGAAAATAAAGCTTATACACTCCCATCGTTTGGAACCTCCAGAAGATATAGACTGGATGATATGGTCTCAAGAGGTGAGAACAATATTACTATATTCGAAGAATTATGTGTAGAAACATGTTAGTTTATATTTAAAGAAACAATGAAGTTTATTTACAGTGGTTATTTTTTTAGTTAGTTACAACAGCTGTTTTCTACCATACGAAAACTTCACTTAAAACATGTTCGTAAAAAAATAATCTCATTTTTGTCATTAATGTATATATAAGCGTGATTTGAAGAATTTGGCAAAAAGAACATAATAAGCGAAGTCTTGAAAACAATGAAATTCCTGGATTTAAAAGGATGTTGAAAATAATGTTTGGTGGCATGTTTTTTTCCCTTACTATAGCATTTTTTTTTTTCAGTCTACTGAAAATTGAGCAAAGCCAGCGTTGTCTACTATTCTGAAAATAGCGCAAAACGTCAAAGCCATAGTTTCGTGAAAATGAAAAAGCATTTGTGGTTTAATTTATAATATTTAAGAACTTACTCCAATGCTGCATTACATGGGTTCATAAAAACTTGCAAAAACTGAGAATTAGGCTGGGATTTTTATAATTTTCTTCTAGGTGGAAAAATTTCGCCAAATTGGCGATTTTCGAAAACAAAGTCTAACAACTTTTAAAATATTTAAGTTATTTGTCTGTTCTACAGCCCAGATATAATTATTTACTGCAAGATTATATGCATGTAGTTGAAAATCATCGCATTGCTTCAAGTGTAAGGCTCTTAAACTATGGCTTTTTTTTTCGTTAGCGACAAAGCGTTGAAAATCAGCGTAAAGTGAAATTTTGAAAACAGTTTCTAAATTTAAAATATTTGGTAAATTATGAATTGTTCAAAAGCATACAAGGAAACAGTTAACAATAAGAAAGCGCCCCTAACGGCGTATGAGGATATTTCCAGGCATGGGTTTCTATGCAATTTTATGCTAATTCTGATTATGCACCCAACTCCCTTTGAAGTTTGCCGCAACATTTACACAACCCCTTGTTATAAACGTTTTTAAATTTTTATATTTTAACAAAAGGTAAGAAGATAGATATTTTATTTACGTCGCACTGGAGCTGCGCAATGGGCTTTTGGCGTCGTCAGCCTGGAAAACATCCCTCAGAGTGATCCAACGAAATGATATCACAATTTTGTTCTGCAGAGGGAACCTCAGTTGTGATTCTATCTACTCAATTTAGACGTAAATCTGAAGAGGAAGGAAATTTTATCCAGATCTTTGTATCCATGGTATTGCTCGGTGACCGACCACAGGCCATTCGATTCCACAGATTTTACGAGCACATATGTAGCATGTACTCGGTGGATCTTAGCTGAGTCGAGGGTTGAACCCTGGTCCTCTAATCACCGGGCTACCAGGGCCCCCATTTTGACAAAAAGAAAAATGATTATAAATGACATTGAATTCCACAAATGAAAAAAAAATAATAAAATCTGTATCTTGAATTGAGAAACTGATTGCAGCCGAGAAAAAAATTTCTCCTCATTATTATTTGTTGATTTTAATGATATTTCTCTAATTCGAAGGAGTAACTTAACATTTTTTTTAAAAAACTTTTAAGATATTTTTATTAATTGTCCGTTCTAGGGGCCAGATAATTCTTCACGGCAAAATGGTAGATTTAGTTTAAAATTACACCTTCTTCATCCACTAGACTTCAAAAAATAATTAGAGTAGGAAAAAAGAAAGAAGATCGATTTAAAAAAGAATCTACGATGGTGTTATTACCCCCTTTAAAAGAACGTTAGGTCATAGGGTATAAAAAAATGTTTAATTACGGCTCAAAAAGTGTTGAACTAAAGTCGCCAGAGTTTCTAGGACAGCCAACAGATCCAATTAAATGTGACAAGGTGAGGCCAAATAGGTCATGCGTGGATAAATGCTGAGAGTATTTTGAGAAAACTCAAAGGAAGTAAACACCTAAATAGCATTTTTATTCTTTGCCCTTCTAGATTATTTGTTGATAATTTCTATCAGAACACCACGATTTCCCCTAAATGTATACTTAAAAAATTGGACTCGTATTTACACCCTCGCAAAATAAATAGCCAACGGTTATTTTCTTTTACCTTCTGAAATAAAAATAGAACTTATCTTTAAGGAAGATGTTCTATTCTTCGTTGATTTATTGCCATAAAGAGAAAACGATCTCCCTTAATAATTCTATACCTTATTTCAGTGAGAATTTTTTAAAATGTGCCCTAAATTAAATTGATATTACTTGTTTCAAAAAAAAATTTTTTTATTAGGGGGACCAGAAAGCAATGTCGCTTCTGCGCATTAAATACTCGTTGGTCTTAAAAACCAATTCATTTTTTTCGATTCATTTTCGATCCGGCATTGAAAGGTTGTTGCTAACGAGGGTGAATACATTACTGATTAAAAATAAAATCTTGATAACAAATATCAAATGCACCGAAACGACATTACTTTCCGGTCCCCCTAATAACTTCTAATACTCAGTTTCTTATAACAGCCCTTATTCTTATTATCGTTGTTAAAAATATATTATAGCCACATGTGTTAAATTCATAAATTACCGTTTCTGGAGGGAGAACAAAACGTTATCAAAATTTGGCGAAACATTATTCAGGTCAATCAAAATCGAAGAGAAATTAAAATCAGTTTAGTAGTCCGATAAAACTGAACATCGATTTTAACAATCACATGCTTCTAAGTTCCATTTTTTCCCTTTGAACATTCAGCAAAACGATTATGTGAATGTCAACATTTTTCAGAAGGTTGTTCTTCGAAGGCTTTGTCATCATATGAAAGGAACCTTTTTTGCTAATAATATGCTATTTTCCTAACTGCTGTGAGTTTTCAATAGTTACTCCTCACTGTTAAAATAGTTTTAGCCTATCTAAAATTAGCGCTATGTATGCTTAATGGCGCAAAAAGTTAATATGGAGAAAAGCCATAGTTTTGTGGTAATGAAAAGCGTTTATGGTCTAATTTTTCCAATATTTAAAAATTTACTACAATGTTGCATTATTTAGGCTCATAAAAATTTGCAAAAACTGAGAATAAGGCAGTAATTTTGATTATTTTCTTCTAGATGGAAAAATGTCGCCAAATTAGTGATTTTTAAAAAAAGTTTAATAACTTCGAAATATTTAAGTTATTCGTTCGTTCTAAAATTCAGATAATTTTTCCCTGCAAGATATTATTTATAGTTTTAAATCGTAGTTTTTCTCTAAGTATAAGGCATTTAAACTGTGTCTTTTTCATTTACCTTGGCGACAAAGCTTCAAAAAAACATTAACGACAAAATTTTAGTAACTCTAGTAAGTGACTTTCTGATCTATTTTCCAGAGTAGAAGTGAAATAATGATATTAAAGAATAAAATTTGGACATTCAGCTAAGCGATTATGTCATTATGTTCGTCTCGATAGTGTGATCAAAGCGATAATGTCCCCCGGAAGAAGTTTACATTTACAAAATTTCGGAACCTTATGCTAGAACTTTAATGGTAATGTATGCACTGCGCGATTATAGCGGTAAAAGTAATAGTTTGAATGGAGCAAATTTGAAAGTTATTTTAACTTTCTTTTTGAAAATATCAAAGAGTATCTTATGTTTTAACGTTAAATAAGCAACACATTAAGATCTAACTAGGACTATTTATGGAACATATTTCATAAAAACGTTTTCTTATTGTTGTGTAATATTTAGTCAGGGGCATTTCTATTCATTATTATTACAGACAACCCTTTTATTGAATCAAATGTCATGCCATCCTATTATAGATCATCTCTGCTGTAAAATATGTTTGTGTTTTTTTTTTGTGACGCAAGTTGTGACGTCAAAGCATATTACTGCAAACGAAAACCCGGAGAATGTCAATTAAATTATCGTCTGCTTGGAATTTTTCTCGGTTTCCAAAAAAATAAAAAAAGCATCTGTGCAAAACTTGTAAAGATGTTTTGAAATTCATGTTACAGCTGTGCGAAATAACGAAATAGTAAGCTGATGGTTATTTCCATGGTCACGTGCTGGACACTGTTTAGTGCTTTTTCTTTATAAATGTGTTTTAATGCCGATTTATATTTAAAAGATAGAAATTTTAAATAATTTTAATAAAGTGGAAACTATTTTTTTCAAATTTTAAGGCTTATATCTTTTTTAAAGTCTAAAAATAAATTATTTTTTAACAATTAAAGCAATCGTTTACAGTGGGACGGAGATGAAATTGCATGAATATATTTTTCGAATAAATCTATAAATTCTGCCAATTGAAGAAAAAAATCAATTATCATAATCATTTTCATAAAATGTTAACTTTGTCTAACGCTTTGCATTAATTACAGTAATGTTTTAATCCATTCTTGCAGTGCAATTTTTTTTTCACGTCACGTGTGGGACACTTAGGACGTGAGGATTAGGAATGTTTTAAGCAATACTTATTCTGCGATTATTATTTTTTTAAGTTGTCATTAGTTCTTCACGTGTGGGACACTTAGGACGTGAAGATTAGGAATGTTTTAAGCAATACTTATTCTGCAATTATTATTTTTTTTTAAGTTGTCATTAGTTCCTCACGTGTGGGACACTTAGGACGTGAGGATTAGGAATGTTTTAAGCAATACTTATTCTGCATTTATAATTTTTTTTAAGTTGTCACTAGTTCCTCATGTGTGGGACACTTAGGACTTGAGAATTTGGAATGCTTTAAACCATTCTTATACTGCAATTATATTTTTGTCATTACTTCGTCACGTGTGGGACACTTAGGAATATCGAGACTGCACGTGACAGTTTATAAGGAAGCAACTTTAAACTTAATATTAACTCATCGTAATTAAACTAGATTTACAAAATATTAGATCATTTTAACATCGCAGTATTCTTTTTCTATTCTTTATTTCAATGAAGTATGAAACAAAAAAATAAGACGAAGCATTTTTCCTAGAAATTACAATTCGATTTTTTCCTTAAGTCGAAATTTATCGCAATTATTGACAATTATGAGTGTTGAAATTGTTTTTACAATCTGCTTCATTGATATTTGTGAATCATAT